TGAGTCTCTTTTCAGCTTTGGATTAACTTGAAATTTAATTTCATTAATGTCTTATCCAGTGCAGGGTACATAAATTTCATTGGTCACATGTCATATCACGTGGTAAAGCCTACCAGGAAATAATTTAACCTAACAAGACATAACCCATTTACAGCCATACGTTTCAGGGGCAACAATGCAGAAAACAACGAAGTCGACCCGGAACGGCAAGCCAAAGGTCAGAACGGGCTGCATTACTTGCAAGTATGTATCTTTGAGTAAGGGGCTCTTTGATGTTACGCTTGCTGACGAAAATACAAGGATTAGGAGGGTCAAATGCGACGAACTACGGCCAGCATGTCATCGGTAAATCATTATCTAACAATATCCGGGGCTTTTCGACTTGAGACTAACTCCCCAGATGCACTAGTACTGGGAGGAAATGTGACGGATATGTCTCAGCGCCAACACCTGTTGGCCTAATAGCACCGCCCAGGTTCAGTCGCCTGACTTCGAAAGAGGCTAGAGCACAAGAGTTCTTCTATCATGAGACCGTGCCGCAATTATCAGGATTCTTCGGCCGTCCATTCTGGGACACGGTACTGCAGTTCAGCCTAACAGAAGCTTCAATGCGGAATGCCAGCGTCGCATTGGCAACACTTCACGAGCAACATAGCACCAACATGTCACGAACAACCACTGAAAAAGACAGTCTGAAATTCGCATTACAGTCGTATAACCGCGCCATCAACATGATACTAAAGAACGCATCAGACCCAACATCGATACCTTTAGTTGCTGTCGCAAGCATTGTATTTACCTGCTTTGAATGCCTCTGGGGTGACTCCAAGGCTGCGGCTGCCCATGTCGCAAGCGGTATCGGGCTGTTGAAAATGCTGCGCGACAAGTCTGGCCAGCCTTCCGGCTCATGGGGCCAGCATTACCGAAACTTCGAGCTTGCCTTTGTGGAAAAAAATGTCGCACCCGTTTTATGCACGCTGAGTCTTTGCGTCGCGGAGTTCGGGTATCCCGCCGAGATTTATCTCAATGCGTTAGATGTTAATGGATGTCCTGTCTTCGATCAACCTTTTCGAGAGCTGTCACAGGCCAGGGTTGGGATAATTGACATCATCACTGCTGCCATGAGGACTGGCCAGGACGGTTCCCCAAACTCTCAACTTGGTAAGGCTGCACAACTTAGAGCCGCGCTCGAGCTCTGGAAAATGCGCTTTGATGATTTGGTTCTGCGACAGGAACGTTCCTGGGACCATCAAAAACTCACCGCCGCCAACCTTGTCCGCGTAATGTGGCAAGCCACGGCAGTAGGCCTTTCAGTAGGCCCATCAGCCGATGAGACAGCGTGGGATGCGCATAGAGAGGCATATGAGGAAATCATCCGGCTTGTGGGGTCGCTGATTGTACGCTCCGAAGATACGCTGGGATTGCCGCGCTTTCATTTTGAGATGGGCCTTATATCTCCATTGCATCTTGTGGCCTGGAAGTGTCGATGGCCAGATCTTCGCCGAAAGGGCCTGGCATTGCTCCGCGCCAGCTCAAGAAGGGAATGTCTCTATGATTCGAAGCTCTACTACGCTGTATTCTCACGAATCATGGCGATTGAGGAAGGCCATCTAATTCGGAAAATCGGCCAGCAGTCTGTCGAGTACGATTTACCGCCTGAGCAGGCTCGCATCCATCACTTTGTCTGCGAAGCTCTTTCTTCGGCAGAGGATAATATCTACCGTTTACGGTTATTTTTAAGACCGAGCTGGCCTAACCCTGAGTGTCGTCTCCAAACCGAGCATTTATGTCTCGACTCGGTTTTGGCTCAGGAAGATGGTGTTTCTTTGCCAGCCGCTCCGACAATGGAAAAGCCTCCAGTCGTGAACCTGTTCAGGACAGGACCTGTTCTAACTATTCCGGAAACCAATGCACTCGAGACGGCAGCCTAGTAGGCTGAAACTATCCCTGAAGATCAATTTATCTTCTGTCAGAATCCAGCACATCGTCAACCTAGACACCACGACCGGACGAACGGTGATTGGCCTGAAGAGCGCCTGTAACCTCATTTACTTCCTCACTTCTCCCGTGGACAGACGCATTGTTCGAATTCACAATGGATACATCTTTATTATGCCAGATTAGCACTGAAGTTCAAGTCTCCTTGTGAGTTCTGAACGTGAAGTCATGGCCCCACTGGAATTCTCAATTTTGGTGGCTCCGATTGGCTTGTTCGCAAAATTCAAGCTCGTAAAAGTTAGCTCCACCCAAGCAGAAGCCACAATCTCCTACGCATAGACCCAACCCGCAACGAGCTGCTATAGATAAAAGACGGAAGCCCTATTTCTATGCCACCACATCAACTTGGTTTTCATCTCCCCCTATCATTTTCAAGACTATCAAATACACCGTGTCTCAGGCTCTCCTTTAAAACCACTGCAATACCTACACCAGCTCCAATGTCGAACAACTACGAGACCGATATGGCGCCCTCGTCGATCATCCCTGAACAGGACCGGCAACAGGAGAAGGTTAACGATTGCGCCGGCTCCTACGCTAGTGGAACTTCGATGGTCGATCTGGGGACAAAAAGCTTGAGCGGTTGGAAACTGACTTTAGTCATGATCGGCCTTTGCTCGGCAGTCTTTTGCATGGCACTTGTACGATCCTTTGGCATCTATATATCCAAAGTTCATTGGTACTAAGATTCAGACAGGACAATACTATCATTGCAACGGCAATCCCGCGTATTACGGACGAATTCCAGGCATTGGACGATCTGGGTTGGTAAGCCCGTCCACTTCCACCCCTGCTCCTCTCTAGCAGTACATCAGTATACTAACCTCGGTTTGCAACAGGTACGGCTCCGCCTATCTACTTACCACCTGCAGCTTCCAGCTCTTCTTCGGCAAGCTCTACTCTTTCTACTCCGTTAAATGGGTCTTCCTCGTTGCCATCGGCTTCTTCGAGCTCGGTTCCCTCGTCTGCGGCGCTGCCCCTACATCCACCGCGCTGATCATCGGCCGTTCCCTTGCTGGCATTGGCTCAGCCGGTATCTTCTCTGGAGCTGTCCTAATCATCGTACTCAGCGTCCCGATGCGGCAGAGACCGACCCATATCGGCATACTGGCGGGTATGTACGGCGTTTCGAGCGTCGCGGGGCCACTTATGGGCGGCGCCTTTACCGATAAGCTTACGTGGAGGTGGTGCTTCTACATTAACCTTCCTCTGGGTGTCGTTACCGTTCTCTTCGTTACCTTCTTCTTCAACCCTCCCCAAAGCGGCTCGCCGAAGAACAAGTCGTCTTGGAAGGAACAACTTTCCAACTTTGACCTCGAAGGCTCAGCTTGTTTCTTACCAGCCATCATCTCCCTTCTTCTTGCACTGCAATGGGGTGGATCGAAGTATCCTTGGTCTAATGGTCGTATTATCGGCCTTTTTGTTGTGTTTGGCGTTCTTATCTTGCTGTTCGCAGCGATCCAATGGTGGAAACAAGACAAGGCTACTGTTCCTCCAAGGATCTTATCCAACCGGACTGTTTGGAGCTGTGCCGCGTTTGCTGTTTGCTTCGGTGCTTCTTTCTTTCTTCTTGTTTACTACGTATGTTACCAATATCGCTCCACTCTCGAGTTCCAGCTAACTCTTCTTCCAGATCCCGATTTGGTTCCAGTCTGTCAAGGGTGCCAGTGCTGTGCGGTCCGGAATTATGAACCTGCCAATGATCCTCGGCTTGGTTATTATGTCGGTCCTTGCTGGAGGTGCAGTCAGCGCCCTTGGCTACTACACACCCTTGATTCTTGTGTCCGCTGTATTGATGAGCATTGGTGCTGGGCTATTGACCACGTTCCGATTAAGCACGAGCTCTCCCGCATGGATTGGCTACCAGGCATTGTACGGCATTGGGGCAGGCTTGGGCATGCAGTTACCCCTTGTCGCAGTACAGACTGCCTTGGCTGAGCACGATATCCCGGTTGGTACGGCGATATTGATGCTCTCCCAGACCCTTGGTGGCAGTGTGTTTGTACAGGTGGGCCAGAACATCTTCACCAACCAACTGGCTGTTGAACTGCGGGGTGTCGCCGGTGTTGATCCCAAAACCGTCCTGTCAATTGGGGCGACCGAGTTGCGAGAACGAGTACCGGCAAAGATCTTGCATAGTGTCCTGGTTGCCTACAGCAAAGCTCTGACCAATACGTGGTACGTCTCGGTTGCTATGGCTGTCCTTGCATTGATCCCTGCTGTGTTTCTTCCATGGAAATCGGTCAAGGGCAAGGATACGGGAGCGGCAAATGCATAAGATAGAGCGCGACTTGCTCTTCACTTTGTCATCAACTACAGAGAAGAACGAATAGAAGGAAGCTCAGAATCCAAATACCTCTCTTAGATTATTGTAAACAACTTACTCTATTTCTTGGAACCATTTTATATATAATACACCCTGTTTTAATATTGTTATTTTGCAGTTAAAAGGAGTCTTGTTCTAAATGGCAAGAGCTTATATAACTATGCAGAAGTTAGTTAGTCTTATAAATTTAATGAATTCCTTTATTAGTTAAATCTATATATTCCGGGATCTTAGTATCAACTTTCATAAGCTATGTCTAGATGCAAAGTCTTATTACTGATGTAATTATTTAACACCTCCTCATGCAGAGACAGAATGAATAAGAAACTGCATTAGTGGCTGCAACTATAGTGACTACTTAGGCAAGAATAATTTGTCCGCCTACTACCAAAAGCCCTTGGCTGAGAATACCAAAAGCAGGGAGTCCGGTCACGTGGCCGGGTGCAATGCAATCTCTCCGCCGCCAACTCAATGAACCCATATCGGGGACAATGGAAGGATCATGGGCCAAGCGCCGGTAAAAAACCACCGAGATAAGTAACAGAGGTTGACAGATTTTCTAATAACGCTATTGTATTTAAAGGATCACTAAATAAGAAGCAATCAAGCCTTCCAGCAACAGAACCCCGGAACATTGTCTTGTAAGCTTTGCGACTTGTCTTGACAAATAGAAGAAATGGATCCAATAGAGCAAAGTTTCAGAATCAACTTAGCAAACGCTTTACCCAATCTGTCAACTGCCACACAAGCCGTACACGCAGATGATGTCCTCAACAATGTCGACGACGTGGCACCGCCAATTCACGTTGCCGCAACCTTCCGTTATCCACGGGCTCCAGACCGCATGCGAGAACACCACGAGAGACCTTCGTATCCGGTTCTAGATATCGGGGAGCACTGCTATTCAAGACAATCCACACCAGGACTATCGCGCCTTGAAACCGTCTTATCTTCTATTCTGGGCCAACCCTGCATTGCCTACTCCTCTGGTCTTGCAGCATTTCATGCTTTGCTGATCATGCTGAGACCCAAGAAAGTCTCTATCGGCGCGGGATACCACGGATGCCATGGGACCCTGGACCTCTATGCCCGTTCGTCTGGCACGGAGGTGCTCTCACTCGACTGTGCCGTCGACCAATTAGGTCCAGGCGACTTGATTCATCTTGAGACACCTGTTAATCCGACTGGAAAAGCCTTTCACATTCAGTATTATGCAGACCGTGCCCATTCCAGAGGTGCCTATCTCAGCGTAGACTCGACGTTTGCGCCTCCTCCACTCCAAGACGCATTCATCCAGGGTGCAGATATCGTCATGCACTCTGGAACAAAATACATCGGTGGCCATTCCGATTTCCTATGTGGCGTTTTGGCGATCAAGAGTGGCAGCCCCGGTAACGAATGGCTACAGCAACTCCATCGGGACCGATTGTACCTTGGGTCTGTCATGGCAGGTTTTGATAGCTGGCTTGCAACCAGGAGCATCCGCACTCTCGAGATGAGAGTTCTCAAGCAAAGCCAATCAGCGGAGGCTATCGTTAGTGCATTAAGACTTGGCTTGGTAGGGACTTGTCGGCAGTCATCATCGAGAAGTCTCAGCGATAAAGAGGTTCACGTCATCCAGAAAGTGGTCAAAGAGATTCATCACGCCAGTCTGCAAGACGAAGCCAATACGGAAGGAAGCTGGCTGCGAAAACAAATGCCTCGAGGATATGGACCCGTGTTTTCTCTAACTCTTCACAAGGTGGAATATGCCCGGAATCTTCCGTCCAAGTTGATGCTCTTCCATCATGCGACCAGCCTCGGCGGTGTAGAAAGTTTGATTGAGTGGAGGACAATGACGGACTCGACGGTGACAAAGGACTTTTTGAGAATTAGTATTGGTGTGGAGGATCCAGAAGACCTCTTGGCGGATCTACTTCGAGGTTTAGAAGCGGTCATAATCGGGAGTAGTTGAGACTTATGTACTGGTAAAGAATTGAACTCCGGTTAATTATAATCTTGCCTCCTGTTACAGCAATGGGCTCAGGCTAGCTCTAATCCAAATACTATAGCGTACAAAAATTACAGATTTCCTACTTCCCATGTTCCAAAAAACGGACCACCTGAATCTTGGAATTGAAAGAACGGATCATACGCCATATCTAAAGACATGGGCCAAGAAGCGAGGGGCGTATGTTCCGTGGAACCTCCGGAAGCTTCTGGGATAGAAGAAGATTGAGCTAGAAGATTTGCTTGGGCCTCCTGGGTTCCCTGACCAGATCTCGTTCTTCGCCTTCCCGACTGTGGCGGCAATGCCTGTCCATTCCCCAGACTCACTTCAACAGTTGGGCTGTGGAAATTATCTATCTCAACGATGTCTTCTCCATCATCTGTGTTGTCCTCTGGAAAAAGAGAGCTGCCATCGAAAAGACTTCTTGTCTGGGGAGAACTCGTCGTGCCCCTGTAAGCGCCAGAGTTGTAAAGAAGTATATCCCACATTAAACGCGTGTTGATCGAAATGGTCCTCGGTGGTGGGACGTCTTGGTCCTTTTCTTGCTCATGATCTATTTCGAAAGCCGCCCGGATCAAAGACTGAAGTCTTTCGTGCTATGAAGGATTAATGTTCCGTTCCAGTAAAATACAGATGTATCATGGTCCTACTTACCAACCATCTACATGAAGGCCAAAGCAAAGCCAGTTCAGCCAAAAATGCGACACATTTCGTCAGTCTATCCAGCGCCGCCTCCCTGGTAGTTTTGTCAGCCGCCCGACAAAAGTAGATATGAATGGTCGCCGCGATCGCCGCACAATGACCAATAAATGGATCCGAGACGCGATATTCTTTATGGACGACCATCTCGATGAGGCGTGCAACCCATGTGCTGTGGATAAAAGCAAGTTCTGAGGATGTTTTCCAGAATGTGTTGGGGACTCCTAATTGAGCCGACTGTTGCGGCCGCGACGAATACAGAAAGGGATGGTTTAGCATATTATGTATGGTGTGATGTGCGAATTGCTGGTATACCCATGGACTCCAATATCCTCGATTGCTCTGAAGGTGTCGGCTTTCTTGGTCGGTAAATCGCGCGCTATCAAATCGGTGGCGGTCTGGGAATTTCGTCTCTGAGTCCATGAGATAGGCGTTGATGACGGCGTATCCAGACTCGATGGACCAAGGAGGCGGTGCGTTGTTGGTCTGCTGAGCCCATTGCTTTACGTATGTGCGGACCTCTCCCCACAGTGTAGACGTCTGGATCATGTAGGCCCATGTCCCGCTCTTCTTATCAGCACTCGTTGTTTCGTCTTGGCCTGATATCTCTTCGCGTGGAATGGCTGGGGGCATCTCATTGAAGCTCTTCCGGGGATCTGCATGCGTCGCAATGTATTGCGGTCTGGTAATATCTTGTAAGATGTCCGTGGTGAAGGATTGATGCCCGTACATCTGCTGTAGTAAGTGTAGGCTCCAGAACACTCTTCTCCGCGTTTCTGCGCGCGAGCCAAAGTCGGCAAGGGCGCAGGTCTCGACATCGAGATTTGAACATTTCGCGACTGTCACTGCTATGCCCACGTGCAGATATGCCAGGGTCGTTATGTTGGCTATAGAGCCTGTTTAGCACATACCTGATCAGCTGGGATACGCAGGAGATTTACCTTGTATATTGGCCAGTGTCAGTATGCAGAGGTTCTGAATTGTCGTTATTGAGACCTTGCCCTCGCCCACCTGTTGCATGATTCCCTCTCTCGCAGCCTGTGCATAGGTTTGACTCAATTCGTGCAGGCGACCTTCAAAGAAAGGATGCTTCGAATGGCACGAAGCAAGGGCCAGTAGGGTCAAGAGTGTCTCCTCACTACAATCCTGGATCGAGGAAAAGTCTTCCCGATTGAATAGCCATAAGGGCTGCTTGTGACAATATTGGAAATACGCATCGACGACATCTTCCAGAACATCCCTCGGTGGCAATAGGCTGTTCCGACTAGTTAACCAACAAGATGATTCAGTGGACCAATTTATCCTAACTTTCCTGACCGTTGGTGAGCTATCCATGTCAATGCTGGGTGACAGCGGTAGCTGCCAGTCCTGGGATTGGCCTGAGTTCGCTGATATTCTTGTGGCAAAAGAGTCCATGTCACTATTCGGCCTGTTGAACTCAAGTTTAGCATCATCAGCCACACGAACCTAAAGGGCAAAGATGAGGAGTGTTGATCGTACTCTTGCCTTTCCATCAGACGAATTTTTGCTTCGAGCTGGGCCAGCCGTCTCTCCTAAACAGCACCCGTCGTGAGTAACATGACTTAATTATGCCCGGACGATTCCTAGCAAGCATACTGTGTCTGTTGAACTGCTCCCATTTTGAGAACCTGAGGCCAGAGGGTTTCCTCGAATCTCTGGGTATGTGCACGTTTTTGAAAGGCGAGTACAGCTCGAGCAAGCCGGTCTCTCGCCCGGACACCGAGTTTTCTTCCTCCTGTCCGTGTTTGATCAGTATTGCACCGCCGCCACTCCAACCGCTGCAGCTAGCTACATGTGGACTCACCGACAGTTCTCGCACGCTTGGTGCAGACGTTTATGTGATCGACCGCCGTACATGACGTGTATTTGCCAATTGACAAGACAAAAGCTTGCGACAAGAGGGGTGTTGTTGAGGTACAAAGCTAGGTGATACCTTTATAAACGGCCTTATCAAATGCGGGGATGCACATTGGAGCCCAGACCTAACTTCGTTGAGTGCGGGGCCGACGGTGGTAGCATGCCGCTAGCGTGATGCGTGACTTCATTGACTTGTACTACTTGGAACATACCCTAGACAAAGTACTGATAAGCAACCGTCTGTAACAAAAACAAAGTCTGTTGTGTTTTTATGGCTAATTATTTGTGAGACATCTGGATATTGCAGTGCACTCAGTCATCATGGATATAGATACTGCTCTATTACTCCTAGTCCAGTTGGTCCAGCCCACAGTACTAGACCTTCACAGCCGTAGAAAAAGATTTTGCCTTGAACAGCAAAGTACACCAGATCTCAAAGCTCACCACTCCATGTCAGCATTATCAGCCTTGCAAGCCAATCCATCACAAAACTTATCATCCCCCTTTGTGACCTCCGAATTTGCTACATGTCGACGAGCTGGCCATATCTCCGCCTTCGAATCTTGCTCCTTTCTACGGTGCTCAGTCACAATCTGCCTAACCGTGTTCTGGAAGAAGATCGGCGCGCTCTCCAAGTCGGGATGCAGCTCTCCATTAGTGAAGACACCTGCTTCCAAGTTCTTCTGCACCGCATCACATAAATACTTGTCTTCCCCGAGAACTCGCTTAAAGAAGGAGTTGGTCCTCTCAAATTCTTCGTCGGTGGCATCTTTATGGCGATAAACTTCGTACTCCATTGAGCAGGTGCCGACTGATGTTGGTACGCATCGCATCATGTAGAAGAAATGTGGCCTGTGCGAGAAAGAAAAAAAAAAAAGATTAGGTCTCCATTCACCAAGTATTTAAAGGACCAGAACTTACGAAACAGTCATGCAGGAGTTGGGGAAATAGTAGGTGCTACTGATCTTGATATCGTCTTGCTCCGTTCCCTTCTTTGGCCGCGAAAAGTGCTGAATGTAGCCTGGCTTGGACACGGTGTAGTAAAAGGTCAAGTCTGTTATGGCTTTGACATCTGGGTGTGCAACCTGGCAATGATAACATTCGTTGTAATTATCAGCAAGGGTTTTCCAGTTATAGTTGCCCTGCATGCCCCAGACGTGATCAAATTGATATTGAGAGAAGTCAAAGTATTTAAATCGTTCCTGCGAGTCAATTCCCTCAAAGTCGTCCGTCCATTTCACTTCGGGTTCCGGGGACGCATCCAAGTTGACCCACACGAATCCAATGGCATCGATATGCACATGGACAGGAAAGAGGCTATGGTTCTCTTTGTTGAACGTTGGGACGGTGTCGAAGCGCGGGGCCTTGGCAAGTTTTCCGTTTATGCCGTATGACCAGCCATGGTATTTGCAAGAGAAGATCTTGGCGTTTCCCGCCTCTTCTGTGACGATTGAGAAAGCTCTGTGCCTGCAGATGTTGTGAAAGCCATTGATGGTCTCTCCGTCCTTGTCTAGGCACAGCACAAAAGCATAACCAGCCTCTTCAAAGCGGAGAAAGTCTCCGGGCTTGGTAAAGCGTAATTTATGCGTGGCAAGAAGCCATCGCTTAGAGAAGATGGCGCGTCGCTCAAGCTGATACATTTCATCCTGCCGATACCAAGACGCGGGGAGGGCTCGCGGTTCTTGGACATCTGGCTTGCTGGAGAGAATTGCGTTTCCATTTACGCTGGTCATGGCCAGCACCGAACCGAGTTTTGAAAACATGGTGTTGACGTGAGATTGTTAGAACTTGTTCAAGGCTTAAGAGTAGGAAGTAGTTAAGTTTGCTTATAGCAAAGCAACAAATTAGAAGTAATTGGAAGTCAGACAGGAAGCTTTGGTCGTTCTCTTAACTTATCCAACCATGCCTCAACCATCTTTCCGTCGTCTACGAACGGGAGGCAGCACTCACAACCTGAGAGTTCAGACGGTCCGACCTCCCCGAGAGCTTCCATACCCTCCTATCGTCCCTATCTTGTACCGGCACTGTTCTGCGACGCGCGATATCTTTGTTACAATATACCATTGCATTGGTTGGTCGGGAACAGTAACCGGCAACTCCATCATGACTGTCGCATGACCATTGCCTTGTTTGGGCATCCGATACTCTCCCCGCCCCGCTCGGTGCGGCTTCCGGGGAGGCCCAAGTGACATTCCCCGACCACGTGCCTGAGTTATCGTTGCCAGTTTAAACCCCTCACTGCCCTCGAGATTCGGACTTGGTACGCCGATCCTGAAATTGACTCTTTCTGATTCGTTGGATTAAACAGAACAGGGTATATATGGGTCTTTTGATAACAAGTAGTAATCAATTGATGCATAACATTGCTCCGACAGACGAGCTAAGAGCTCCCTGTGCACCGGGGAATGTGATTTCTGTCCGCCGTACCCCATGCCATATCTGATTACCCCGCTCCACGAACCCTGTTTAGATTATTAGACTGATGCCAACTCGCGGATTAACGAATCAAGAGTATGCAACGGAAAGTTATACCTGGCTGTGAAATGTATTTCTCACTGTTGGCTAGATAAGAAAGACAACGCCAAAATGGGAACTAGTAAAATGTACGAAATTAATAATAAAAGACACGTCAGGTTCCACGTTCTAGTCGAGAGTTTCCACAATTTGGTCATTCATCCAGACCAGAGTAGCCTTCGCATACACTATTTCCTTTCCATATCTTGCGTGATCATGTCAGACAAATCCACCACTGGCGGTCCAGTTACCATGCTTCCTCCATCGGAAAAGCTATCTGACCGGGAGCGCTATGCCGACCTACGTACCAGTGGCGACCGGCCCGGCGAAACCCTGAGTTTCGAGATGGGAACAGAAGATGACCAAATCTTCTCTCTACGTGAGATCGACCCAGTCCTTGATGCCAAGATGCGCCTCATCAATAAGGTCCAACGAGCTCCAATCCAAGTATACAAGAACAATCCCAGACTAATCCACCTACTGTGTAGACCATGGATGAGATCGGGTGGACAAACATGCACCTCAAGCTGTTTTTCCTTAATGGTTTCGGCTACGCTGCTGATTCTCTCATCCTTGCTCTTCAAGCTGTAACTGCCGGCCAGGCTGCTCTCGAGTTTCGCCCTGCGTTCTCTTATGGTCTCAATGTGGCTGTGTATACGGGAATGCTGGTTGGGGTATTATTCTGGGGACTAGGTAACCCAACATACCCCTTCTAGTTCTGTGACAAGACTCTTATTTGCTGCTTAGGTGCGGATGTCATCGGTCGTCGTTATGCTTTCAACATTTCACTCTTCTTATCTTCCGTATTTGCCATTGCGGCCGGTGCGTCGCCTAATTGGATTGTCCTTGCAACCTTTGTTGGTCTAGCTGCGTAGGTTCCTCGTCATCCAAGCCGCAAACTTACTAACACTGGGTAACAGATTTGGTGCTGGCGGAAATCTCGTTCTCGACACAACTGTATTCCTTGAGTTTCTTCCTGGCCACAAACAATGGCTTGTCACGTTGATGGCCTGCTGGTGGGGGCTCGCATATGTCATTGTTGCCGCCTTTTGCTGGCCAATTTACTCGAATCCCAAGTACATCTGCGTGGAGGCTGATACATGTACCAAAGATAACAACATGGTTAGTACAGGCACTTGATACACCATAGCCTTGGTTCCTAACACTGATTTGTATCACAGGGCTGGCGATATGTCTGGTACGGTAATGGAGCTCTCGTCTTTGCGTGCAGTATTCTACGAGTCACAGTGATCCGACTCAAGGAGACCCCAAAGTACCTTCTTGCCAAAGGGGACGATGCTGCTGTGGTCGCTATCTTCCAAGATATTGCAAAGAAGTATCAACGGCCGTGTAGTCTCACGTTTGAGGCACTAGAGTCTATGGGGACCATCAACTCCACTTATGGTAAGTCTAGGTACAGCCTCGGTGAGCTCTGGGCACATTTCCACGGATTGTTCGTGACAAAGAAGCTCGCCATCTCAACCATTCTAATTTGGATATCATGGCTTCTAATTGGTAACGTAATCTCCTTCTTGCCTTGTGACCGTGAAATTAACGTCTCTAGGCCTGGCATATCCACTGTTTTATGTGTTCCTTCCTGATTACCTTGCCAGTCGTGGTGCCGAAACGGGAGAATCAGGACCGTATTATCAGTGGAGGAACTACATGCTTAGCAGTGTCACGGGAATCTTCGGGCCAGTGGCTGCTGCATTTATGTGCAATTCCAAGCTGCTGGGCCGCAAGTATACGATGGCAATTGGAGCGCTCATCACCATGGCCTTCTTTTTTGCTTATACTGCTGTGAAAACTCCGGCTCAGAACGTTGCCTTAAGCTGTGTTATAGCTTTTTCGTTGAATATCTACTATGGAACTTGTGAGTCGCTGGTGCTTACACGGATGAAAGGAACCCTACTGATATGAGTTCTTCCTAGTATATGCGTACACTCCAGAGGTTTGTCAAATCATCAATAGGACTGGCTCTAAGTGTATCGACTGACACGACTCAGGTGCTGCCATCAGCTCATCGCGCAACTGGTAACGGAATAGCTGTAGCAGGAAACCGAATTATGGGATTGGTATCCTCGTTTGTAGCAGCTTACGGCAACACTGCAACATCAGTACCAATCTATGTATGCGCTGTGCTCTATATCGTTATGGTAAGTTATCCCTTATAACAATCTTTGAGAGAGGCTACTAATCAGGATGTACTAGGCTATCATAGCTGTGATTTTACCCTTTGAGCCTTATGGGAAGCGATCTATGTAGGAAGAAGCGATTATGCGATCCCTATTACAATGTTTGCTTTAAATGTATTTCTCTCTTAGAATGGTACCTGTGTCAGCAGCCATTAACTCAAGGGCTCCCTCTATTGTATATTTGGTGCGCCATCTGTTATTGCTTTCTCGTCCTATATTCTCTCTTCCATATATGCATTCAGACGTTCCACAGTAGCATTATTAACCATGAAGTAAACTGACCCGTCAAGTCTTGGTCATCCGTATAAGTGAAGAACTATATTTTCACCTGCAACAAGTCAGTTCTACTTTGCCGAAGTATAATAGCTACTAGGGGGACTTGTACCATATTTATTGGCCGCGATGATTTTAGGAGCAGCAGTTTGAGTGCCAAAACTTCAAACCAATTACCATCACAACGAGGATCGCATTAGCACCTCATGTCAATGCTGACAAACACATTCACTTTGTTATATCGTTGTTGGGTAAAGATGCTGTGTTAAATATCATGACTGCAGTATATGGAAGCAAGATATATTGTGAAATAATGATGGCTATATATACCTCATGCTAAATTTTACTTCGAACACCTGATTGAATCGCTGGGATGACAAACTTGGAGAGATCCTCAGTTGTCTTTCCATCTATAGCCAGTTCTGCCATGACACGACCGATAACGGGTGCGAATTTGAAACCATGAGCCGCCCCCAATGCAACCAAAATGTCGGGGTACTCATCCAGTGCGCTAAGTATGAAATGTCGGCCTGGGGTAATCGTATACTGGCATGTAACCGTGCGAAGGATTTCAAGTTCCTCATCTTTGGATATAAAGTCCCTCATGAATGCATTCAACTCATCCAAGAGGTTTGGAGAGTGGATATAAGACCGGTCTTCTGGGCTCATGCGGTTGTTTGACACGTCGCGGCCAGCCTTGATGGTAGGTTCGCCAAAAGTGGGAAATCCATAGAATGTCTTTCCATCAACCATTCGAATCCATACAGGGAAGTGATCGGCATTAAATAAAGAGGGCTCTTTGGGCTTGAAGTATGTTACTTGCTCTTGCATAACCTCAAGTGGAATTTGTGCACCTAGGGGAGCAAGCAGTTTGTTGGTCCAGGCGTCTGCAGCTAGAATGACCTTCCGAGCCTGAAAGTCGCCCTTTTCTGTCTTGACGATAACTCCTTTGTTGTTTTGGTCTTTTGCAAAGGGTATAACTGCCGTTACTGGTGTGTTTTCCTTGAGAATGGCTCCGCGAGCGCGAGCAACGAATTGCATCGCCGTCACCGATTTAGCCGCGTGCGCAATGCCAGTATCTGGGGTGTACACCGCATTCTCGTCGTCACCAATGTCAAGTTTGGGCCATCGCTCGTTGACCTCTTTGGCACCTAGAAGCTCGTAGGGTACATTGTTGGCGTCGAGGCTCGCAGTGTAATCCGAGACCTTGAAGCCGGATGTCCAGGTGCGATCATTTGCAAGTACAACGATGCCACCGGTGACGGTCAAGAGCTTCAAGCCGGCGTCTTTCTCCAGTTCGGCCCAGTCTTTGTAGGCTGCTTTGGCGAGCGAGACGTATTCTGGAGCATCGTATGCTGTGCGGACAATGCGAGACGTGTCATGAGATGCGCCTCGGACGTGGCCGAACTCAAACTGTTCAAAGCCCACAACCTTTGCTCCCTTTCGCGCCGCTTGCCAGGCTGCTGCGCTTCCAAGAGCTCCGAGGCCTACTACGGCGACATCGAACTTTTCCATTGAGAGGCGTTTGTTGTTGTTTCTGGTATTGTAAAATCTGTGATTTGATGTCTATTACCCAAAGCTAATAATGAGAGGAAGCAATTGATAATTTATGCCTTTGTTAGTGCAGTGGATCACCAAGCCAAGAACGTTGGTTGAGATCATCCTATGTAGCATGCAATTTGCCGGATCGATAAAGCCGACTATGACCGCTGAGGGGTTCATGCAAGCGACAGGCCGACGGTCGGGGAGCATGCTCCCCGACCGACACCAATGGCTACCTATTGGTTAACAGGACTGGGCCTTGCCGGCACTATATTCGCGTGGGTGGAATGAACTCTATTTACAACTTGTCATCACGTAGATCTAGCACCCACTGTTCACAGAAAGGACACAGGGGACTTCCTAGGCATAGAAGCAAGCAGTGGCCCATAGCTTGGTGGCAAATGTTATTAATAAAACACTTGCAGGCCACATTGTAGTAATAATAAGCCTCAAGAATATCATGTATCTCACTTCCTATATGCTTGACATTGCTTTAAGTCATCTGCCACAGATAAAATATTATTAAGATTGATAACCCGCCGCCTAGCCTCTTGATTATCCAACGCCTTGCTCTTCATAGCCATATTAATGCTGTCATTTTATGCTTTCTGTAAGTTCTTATTAAAATAGGAGTTAAGCATGTATAATCTTGTGTATCTTTTGATTTTAACCTGGGGGATAAATGAATTCATGCCACCCTTGTACTTGGCGAGGAGATAAGCCTAGTTTAACACCCCGAGCGCGTTAATGCTTTGAGTGATCTAGAGTATGATACCTTTCAGCCGCTTATGGTTCGTTATGTCTTTGGTCAGGATGACCTCAACATCAAGGTATAGGTCCAGGTCAAAATAGAATGATGAATCCTCCTTGATTACATCTTTCACGGCATGTTCTAATTGGAAAAGGTTGGCTCAAGCATTCCAGACCAAGCAAACTCCGGTGAGACAAATACTGCCGGACGCACCATCTTAAAGAAAAAGCATACGCATTAACATCAAGAGCAAATTTATCCGGGGTGTTAACAATGTCCGCGATCAGACCTAAGTCATTATATTCAAATACTCACAATGTTGTGGCGTGACGCATAGCGGATGTTATTTAAAGTCCGCCCTTATGCTTCAATTTTACCTCAGCGACCACGCATCAGGCGCTAGACTAACTTCCGCTGCTAAGCCTCAACACAGACCCTGGACCCTCAGCTTCCATTTCCAGGTGATCTGATATCAAGGGTCGATTTCTCACCTCTGGTGGAAATCTATAAAAGCCATGTCTTTCTGGCAATGGATTGAAGGGAATATGAAAGAACAATAATCGCATGTCAGGCCTCACATCCAATTACCGATTTCCGTCATATCCATTATGAAGATACTCGCTCTCTCATTCGCTATGGTGGCACTTGCGGCCTCGAAGATGGTCCCTTTGCACCCTCCTACTGCTGATACTCTTATTAGTCAAGCTCTGGCCGCGCTTGGCGGCGAGAAGACCATTGCAGGTATTGATGGAATCACCTATCACTCTCCAAAGTACGTCAGGCAGTAATAATCCATCAATCACGTAACTTATCAAATCCATCCAGTGTCTATCATTCCCGCAGCCTTATGCAGAGCTACAACATGGACAAAGCAGACACAGCTGTCGCAATTTCTGGCTCTCAGAATGTATCCTTCAGCTATTCCTCGGGTCAGTTGACTCAGCGAATCGACCGTACCTTCAGGCCCAGTGGTACGTAATGTTATCTCCCTCTTTAGTAAGGCGAGAGGCTTACACCGCATTAGAGTACTGGTATTGGGCATCTGCTAGACTTGATGAGTTCGACTACTCTCTCGTTGTTCGCGGCGGTAAAGATGGATTTGCATGCTATGTTCGTGGAAACAATCAAATCTGGCTTCCTGCAAACCTTACATCCGGATACGTTGATGGTCAGTTTGGGCTTCTGTTCCTGCTCCTGAAGTCAGTTGATGACTGATTCGCTGTTATAGCTGCCCTCGCAGAGTTTCTCGTCCTGCAAGGAAACGTCTTTTCGCCAAAGCTTTTGTTGGAGGTAAATATTAGACATTCTGTTGGGAATCACCAACTGCAGAGTTTGCTGACTTACCTAGATGAAAGCTCATCATGGTACCAAGGCCATTGAGGTTTTAATCAATGGAATCAAGACACCTGCTGGTAGGTTTCCGGCTTCGAATGTGGCCATCCTGATCTAACCCGGATAGTTTATGATCCTGTTCTCGAAATCACCATTATCTTCGATGCTTCTAGTCATCTCCCTCACATCATTCGCACCGAAGAGAATCACATGATATATGGACCTTCGACAAACGACCTTTATCTTTCACAATACAAAGCCATCGAGGGCATCAAATTCCCCCACACGTTCCAGACCGTTTATAACTCCACTACGCAGAAGCTAGATGCAACACTCGAGGAGTTCATCGTCGAGGAAATCACCATCAATCCCAAGTTTCCCAAGAACTACTTCAATGGCCTATCGGAAGGAAAAGGATTCTTCCCCAAAGAAGCGCCCAAGAGGACTGAGGGTCTAAGTCATGCGCACATTCTCGAATTCAGCAGCAACATGCTTTGGTCTGGCCCTGGGTCCGGCATTAGCAACAACTCTGTCGACAGTATCAAGCACAAAAACATTGTTCCCGGTCTACCCAACGCTCACTGGCTTATTTTCAACGACGAATTTCTGGGAGTTAAGCAGTTCGTGATCGAGTTCGAGGACCATGTTATCGTTGGCGATGCACCTCCCCAATGGACCAAGCAGGTGATCGAATGGATCGACAAGAACATTGGCAAGCCTATCAAATACCTCTGGGTAAGCTCCCAAGATTGAGGATGAACCGAGTTTTGGTGATGGGAAACTAACACTCCTGCAACAGCCTACTCACCATCACCGTGATCACAGCGGAGGAGCTGCTGAGTACGTTAAAATTGGGGCCAAGTTGATCGTCCCTGAAATCGCAGCGAGCTACTGGTCGAGCATTCCCGGTGCAGAGCTCATCACCTTCAAGTAGGTTTCCTGTATCAATCGGCTGAGAACTACGATCTGATTGTCTGCTAGCGAAACGCACCCCTACATCCATAGCGATATCAATCACCAAGCCTGGTTCATCTGGGAAGAGCAAGCAACCCACTCCATTGACTGGTCATATGCCTTTATCACTGACAAGTGCCCTACCAACAAATCGGGCATTGCTGTCATTGAGGCTGACGCATGGCACCCTGGTATGCCTGATGCCAATAATGACAGGTGGGAAATGCGAGAGTGGCTCGGTCAGCTTGATAAAGATGGTCTGCCAGAGAGCGCCTAGTAAGTGCTTCCTATTACTCGATAAATAAAAGAAACGCAAGAAACTGACAAAATTGCAGCGTTCTCCCAACCCATGGTCAGATTAGACAAGTCTCGGAACTAATTGAGCATACCGACTACGTATATGCCCCAAAGAGTATTGGTGACTGGAAGAACGGAGGAGCTCTGTGCAAGGCATGATTGGACTACGGCCCCAAGGTTAATATAATGGGGTTAGTTTATATGTTGTGTTGAGGCATCAGCAGGAAATTATGATGCACCCAGCAGGGTGGCGATATAAAGGTAGATTCTGATTTACGTTCTATGTTTCGCAGTCCTTGGAGGATCTGTAACGTTGGACATACATGTTAGCTAGTTAGACTCCTTACATGAATTTTAGATCTCTCTTAAGAGTAATTAGTTCAACAGGCCATTGTGATTAAACTACCTGATCTGTCACATACCTAGCCATTCGAAGGGTTCCCACTACATTTTCATAAATGGGACATTTGTACTGTAGGAATATTATCTGGGAGTGCTGCCCCCAGAGGCGTGCTTTACCCAAATTTATGCAAGAATCATTTTTGTATAATTGTCTCGCTAAGCGCCAAGGGAAAGGCCTTGATCAACAAGGCTTGTTGCTAACACAAGAAGAGCAAAATACAAATAGGAAACAGCGCATTTCCGTCCGGATGGTTGCTCGAATTGTGGTTGCACTATTCAACTGCAATCCGTAGCCTTAACAGCGGTACCTAGGAATCATTGCAGCCCCGAACGGATCGAACCTATCAGCGCGTTAAGCATAATAACCTTCACTCACTAACTTAATTTTAAGCTTCTTGGTCTGCTAAAGCTCCCTCTGTATTAAATATTAGATTATACTACGGGCAAAATACAATCGCTATTCATTCTTGTCTTTCGTTGCGAACACCTGCCTTGGTGATATTTTCCTTGCAGTTATACTAATGGTAGCTGGCTTCATGCATAATCACAACGCTTTCTGGAAAGTCTCGCCGATCAAAGTTTGAATCGAGAGTAAGCGGAGTAACAAGGCCTAAGCACTAAACGAGGCTTATCAACGCCAGCCACGCGTCATTCGTTGTATGTTTATTGTCTGACGTAGACTAGCGCGCGTCTGTATCGGCACGCGGTGCTTTATTAAATGCCGCCCTCGCCTCGAAAAAGCGCTTCCCGAGCGGACCCAGCTTTCGAAGCCGCGACCGTATTTCCTCACTCAGTTCGCTTTTGTGACAGTCACAGATACACAAACGGATACAATATGAGTACCTCAGAAGGTACAGTGGAGACTCGTCTGAATAGGACCTGCGAGGTATGATGAACGAATACTCGTCAACTTCATTGCTAATGCAAGTCCAAGGGTTGTCGGAAGAGGAAGATCAGGTGCATCTCGGATCTTTCAAACTCACAGCCTTTGTTGGAAAAATGCAACCGCTGCAGAAAGCTGGACATTGAATGTGTCTTCAACGCTCCAGCCACAAGAAAAAGACGGAGACGCAATGAAACAAGAATCCACGAACTTGAACAGAAGCTCGAGGAAGTTCAGTGGGCGGTTGCTACAGGGCGCCAAAGAGACCTGTGCATACCACCAACCTCAGAAGCTTCGATAACGCCCGCGAGTACCCAAGACTCATTTCCATCATTGGGGCGCATCTCAACCACGTCTCCCAGCCATTCTACATCTTATGAGACTACCAGCGAATCGCCGGTCAAGGGAGACCCTGTATCGCGAGGAATTATTGAAGAGTCGCTCGCCGAAGAATTATACACCAAGTTCTTTACTGACCTTTTACCGCATTACCCTTTGATTCAACCCGACGCTCCCCTCTCATGGCGGGCTTTGCAGCAAGATCGACCAGCACTCTTCCAGGCCATGCTGGCAACGTCATCGAGCAGCTTCAGGCCAGATCTCTGGACACCACTCTTTCGAGATGCGGAGCGATATGTCATGGAGGAGGCCATGATTTACGGTCGGAAATCCATAGACCTCATACAAGCTGCTCTGGTTCTTGTAACTTGGAGTCATCCACCGGACAAGTTCCAGCATTTGAACTTTGGCCAGTTTATTAATATCGCAGCTACTATGGTAATTGACCTGCGATCCTCAAATGACGAGAGATATCAAATTCCGTCTTCTAATCCTGAAGTTTTACATACGAAGGAATACTTGGAAACTGTTAGGGCGTTCTCAGCTTGCTACTTTCTATGCTCAGGGTTCAACTCCTCTTCCTAGTCTAATATCTCGCAATTATGCTAATGTATGTCCAGTATTGCCATGTCATTCCGTCGGCCGAGCACGCTATACTATGGCCCCTGGGTGCAAGAGTGTATAAATATCTTAGATTCTCCAGCTAGCACACATCTTGGTGATCGGCGTTTGGCAGCATGGATCAGACTCCAACGGCTTGCAGAGGAGTCTCTTGCCATAGCCAGAGTCGGGTCAGATGAGAACTCGTCAAGATTTAATCATTCGGACCCGCGTACCCGTTTTATTCTGCAAGGCTGTCTCGAACGAGTCAAGGATTGGCGGCAGAATCTGCCAGAAGAAGTTATGACCCGTAAGATTGGCATCACTATCTTTCGTTCAAATAACTAATACTTAAAGTAACTCTCGAGATACACTACCATGTCATCCTCCTTAACCTCTATGAGCCAGGTCTTTATGATAATCACGAGTTTCGAGATTTTCGCCCTCCTTATGCTATTCATACTTTCCTGTCGACGAACACATTCGCTCCGGATTTGCCACAGTATGTTGATGCGCGCATAGAATGCCTGAATGTTGCTCGTAACCTGATTCAGTTGTTCCTTCAATTCTCCCCCAAAATCCTACAGCAAGTGCCCGTAATCGTCTTTACCAGGATGATGTATGCTGTTGTTATGATCATTAAACTCGAGGTTTTTAATAGACCGACCACCGATGGAGCAAATATGTCAGAAGCTAAACAGATTTCTGCTCTGGATTTAATGCGCCTTGTCCTCGAAAAGCTCAAATTATCATCGGACGAAGGACGCTTTTTTATCCCAACAACTTTCCATGCCGTGTTGAAGAGATTGCACAGCCGATGTGTCGAGAGTTATTGGCGTCTGGCCATGGGCCAGAACGAGATGAACGAGATCATCAAACCTCTCATGAACCTTCAAGTTCAAGACTCGAGCAAGGAGAAAGAGGAAACACCTTCAGAAGTGCACGGGGAGCGTCCAATTGCCCAGCAACAGGTCTTTGGACTTGAGTGTCTGTCTCAGCAGACGGAAGATGGTGTTTTTCTAGACACATCCATATCGCTAGATAATTGTTTTCCAAGTGCTGCAGCCAATTCTGGTGTAGACGTGTTTTGGACCAATTTATTTAGCAAAGGATTTCTGCCAACAGGTACAGAACAGGAGTTTGAGTTTGACATGAGAATCATGGATACTTAGTAGACGCACTGTTATTTTGGGCATCGTTGCGAAGTATATAAAAGACCTTCTCTGTAGAGGATGGCGGTACGGCTGTGTCTTAGATGTCAGGCTGGTTATTAACATAGTTCGTCAATCTAGCATCCATACTAAGGTAGAGGTCAAAGATTGTTCCGCCTGCGACAACAGATCACCGAACAGAAGCGGAAGCAGCAGTTCGACCATCTCGAGAGTACTATCGACCAAGTTGCCTCCATTTTCTTAACTTACACTGATCATCTTATATACTCAGAATGGTCCCGACGTGACTCGGATCTCATTAGCAAACTCTGCCAATTAATATAAATTATGCCTTCTTTGCTGCAGAAATATGGGGCATGGACGTCACCTAGCCCACCGCGGCAGGCACCCACGAATACGATTCTATCTATTCTGAAGACGCCAGTTGAAGACCAAGGCAGACACCATGAGAATGAATTCAGCTCTCGTATGAATGTCTATGGGTGGCCTGTGTTCATGCAGTAGGCATTTTGCTTTCCCTTTGCCGCCCAGTCAAACCCTGACCAACGGGCTTCATCCTGCATATCCCCGTCTATGACTTCCAGGTCCAGCAGATCAATCATCCTCATGACACTTTGCTGTACCATATCATCGACAGAGCTTGGCCTCGTATAAAAGGCCATCACTGGCGGAAATACCACAGCGCCGGCTTTCGTCACTTCAAGCATGTTCTCCAAGTAAATGCTCGTCAACGGCGTTTCTCTAGCCACCAGAACAAGCCTTCTTCTCTCCTTCAGTGTCACGCTTGCCGCGCGTACGATGAGGTCGTTGTCGTAACCCATGCGTATGCCTGCTAATGTTTTCATACTGCATGGAACTACAATCATGCCATCTGTGCGAAAGGAACCAGAGGATAGTGAGGCTGAGACATCCAGCGACGAGTGTGTGACTGAAGCAAGAGACTCGAGGTAAGAAGTCGTGTTATTTGGAACTTCAAGTTCATATTTGAGTGTCGCCCCTCCCCATTTCGACATGACGAGATGAGTCTCAACGTCGAGTTCCCGGAGGCGTTGGAGCAGAGCAACTGCCAACGGTGAGCCAGTTGCTCCTGTAACAGCAACGACAATACGTTTTGGACGGCCATTGGGTCCAGGTGAGGAGGAGGACTGGTAGCGTGTTTGAGCTGGCAAGTGACGAGCCATCGAAAGTTTTGGGAGATCATGCCCGCTGAAGAGCCGTAACGGGCGAGCAAAACTGCGCATCTTAGAAGAAGAGAACTCGGCTAAAGCTGCTGAATAGTCCTTGGATGCAACCAGGAGTCTGATGGTTGATTTGAGATTGACATAGATCGCAAACCGGATCTACTGAGCAGCGTGGATACGTTGTAAGTATTGCAATCCTTGTACGGGTAACAGAGTCGATCAGCTTGAAAAGGAAAAAGCAGTAAACCATTGTATAGGGTTTAGTCAGACTTTACAAACGTGCCATTTAGGCTTTTGATAGTCACTTTGTTACAGCATGCAAGGGTGTAAGCACTATGTAATGAAATGGGTGTGCCGATCTGGCATCATTCCAAGATTTACAATGCGCGAGGCAAACGCCACTTCTTGTGGTCCTGCATTTATACGAAATTCGCATAAGGCTTTCTTATCTGGAAACTCATCTTACGAAAACCAGCAGGTTTTATTGGCTAGAGCAATCCAACCTAGCCAGTCGGGAATCTTGACGACAATTGACTTTGACAGTCCAAAGTGGACGCCTTGCAAGTCCACCGGCCATGAGGGACTCACATACTAAACATTTCAAGGTCTCTACTGCATGACCTGAAATACGACTTATAGACACTTTCGATAATTGAATTGTAACCCCGCCAGGCTTATATGGCTAGAGATGAAGCCCGAGCAGTACATGGAGGGCTGAGAACGATGAAATGATTAGACCTCTGTTGTGTTGTGATTTCGGGTAATCGGTACGGCTTCGCGATTGAGATAAGACTTATTACATTGTGGCTTGCTGCGAGATGACAGATCGTTTCAGTAGTGCTTAATAACATGCTTGCTAAAGCTGACTACAGCGCATTTCCAGATGTGGTACGAGGCGGCCGACAATTCCTCACCCGCTTAAATTCCCTGAAGGGTCAACGACCTGGAGGGCCTGTCTTGAAGATAGTCTCTTTGACTGTAAGACATCGAATATTTAATGAGAATCATGCAGCGACTTCGTCCTACCTTGACAAACAGGCTCCTGGCGAGCCGTGCATCCCGTCGTTCACTCTCAGCGGGCAGGAATTCTTCTCCCGCGCACCTTGACTTTCGGGCCTTTGTGGACATGTTACGAGAGGATAATGACTTGGCCGATGTTAGTGCTGAAGTCGATCCCAGACTCGAAGTTGCAGCTGCCATCCGTCTGGCATATGAACAGCGCACAAAGGCTCCATTGTTCCACAATGTGAAGGGGGCAAAGGACGGCCTATTTCGCATTCTGGGTGCACCAGCTGGTTTCTCCAGTGACCCAAAGTTTCCTTACCGACGTCTGGCACAGCACCTTGCACTTCCGAAAGAAGCCGGCGTGACAGATGTCATCGACAAGATGCTATCGGCAAAGGGAGAAAAGCCTCTCCCTCCAGTTCATGTCTCCACGGGACCATGTAAAGAGAAGATCATCATGGGCGACGACGTTGATCTCACCAAGCTGCCTGCTCCTCTTCTGAACAAGGCCGATGGAGGGAACTACATCCAGACATTAGGGATCAACATCATACCCCATCCAACAGAGCCATGGACAAATTGGTCTATCGCGCGGGCGATGGTCTATGATAAGACACGAATGGTCGGTCTCATCATGAAACCACAGCATATTGCCAGGATCTTTGAAGAATGGAAAAAGACTGGTAAAGACGTCCCATATGCCATCGCCCTGGGAGCTCCACCTATCGCTACCATGGCCGCCAGTATGCCCCTACCAGCTGGTGTCTCAGAGTCTGAATACGTTGGTGCGCTCTGCGGTTCGCCATTGGAGCTCGTCAAGTGTGAGACCAATGACATGTACGTCCCAGCAACAAGCGAGATCGTACTAGAAGGCACGATTTCCATCACAGATACTGCCAAAGAGGGCCCATTCGGGGAGATGCATGGCTACAGCTTTCTCGATGAAAACTCCCAACAGCCTTTGTATACTGTCAAAGCCATCACTCATCGTAACAACCCAATCCTCCCAGTTTGTGTACCTGGACGCGCAAATCTCGGCCCAGATGAGACGCATACCATGATTGGAACCCTTGCCTCCGCAGAGATTCGGCACTTGCTTCAGCAGCACGGTTTGCCGGTGACTCAAGTCTTTGCCTTGTTCGAGACACAGGTCATTTGGGCGGCTGTACAAGTCGACCGCAAGAAGCTCGCTGAGATGAAGACGAACGCCAAAGACTTCTGCACGAAGATAGGAGACCTTGTGTTCCGCAACAAGTGCGGTATGCAGATCCACCGTCTGCTTGTTGTGGGAGAGGATATCAACCCTTTCGACATGAATGATGTCACTTGGGCTTTTGCAACAAGGTGCAGACCAGCGATGGATGAGTTCTGTTTTGAGGATGTCCCTGCTTACCCGCTCGTGCCGTACATGTCGCATGGACCCGGGACAAAGCTCACGGGAGGAAAGGTCGTGGCCAATTGTTTGTTGCGGGAAGAGTATGAAGGGAAGCAAGGCTGGGTGACATGTGATTTTGAGAATGGATATCCTGAAGATGTCAAGAAGAGAGTCTTGAGTAGACGTCAGGACTTTGGTATATAATGGCTAAACTACGTTTGCATTAATTGGAAGCCTGCTATTCTCTCGTAATGTGACTATTCAGTTTATTTCTTTATTGAAGCTTGTTTTTAAAATTCCTAGCTTTGGAAAGACAGCTAAGAGCACTGAAAAAGAGCTCGAGCACCAGGATCTTTGACAGCCATGGAAGAGCTAGAAAGTTATAAGTATTCTTTTAGACTGATACTTGCCGAAGAACCTCTATCATTATTACAAATCAGCGATGGGACACCTGAGAAATAGAGATCGCGAGTAGGGAAAAGGAAACTCCCATAAGCAGAAGACCCGGCAAGGCTCTCCAAAAACCTGAAAGGGGGCTTATACCTCTGCTAATAGCGATGAGAATTCTTTTGAATTGAGTGGAGGTTCTGAGACATATAGGCTTACTACAAGTGGCCATTCAGTTGAGAATGGGCATGATACTTCCGCAGCGAATAGTTCGAGTAAGAGCTCCCTAAATCTGATATTGGTATGTCGGGCAAAAGACTTGAATGGAAGGTTCCTCCGAAGAAATGTCACCCTGGGCTCAAAAAACATGATCCCATGCTTCTGCCCAAAACCTGCCTCCAATGGAGGACGATGTCTTTATGGAGCCCCATCGATACCTGTGCTCCCTGCCTTGTAAGGGAGTTAGGAACAAGACGATCGATGGTCTCAAACCTTGGCTCCGGGTTCCTGCAGACCGAGCCAACACCATAAAGGCTATTACCGAAAGCCTCCGTGGAGCGTCACTCATGTTTGACGACATTGAGGATCACTCTCAGCTTCGACACGGCAAGCCATCGGCTCTTTCTTCACAAGCAGGCCGCTTAATATGCTAAGGTTTAAATAAGTCTATATCAACTATATAATACTATTTAATTTATAGAGTGTATTTAAAGTCGGGTCGCAGGTCACCTTGAACCCACTTCTGTTCATCTGACAAACTGTCCCATTTAGCATCCATCTTGCCAAGGCTGCGATCTCTGTTCATCTTGCGAAGTCCCAGATGCATTAAAATAGATCCACCAAGCAAGAAAACCACCAGATAGCCAAAAACAACCCCATGTCCCGTATAGTAACGGGGCTTTTCGCGAAGCAAGTAGATGTTTGATGACACCACGCCATTCAAATTACCCCAGCCTACCACTACTCCCAGCACAAAAGCACGCTTTAGCGACCCCTCAGTGTTATTGTTCAACCAGGAGAGAGTGTTGGGGACGGTAGGGTAAATGCCTGCTGCACCAAGGAAGACACCGACGTACTGCACTGTCGGGTTAGACGTTGCTATAAGCATAGCAAAACCAGCAATGCCAAGCAAAACAATGGCAATATTGCAGTAACCTCGCTGCCGGGTCCTGTCGCCGTAGAATCCCACACAAATAGTAAGAGCCGCTGCAACTGCATAAGGGGGCACAGAGAGGAGCTGAGCTTTCGTACCTGCATGCCCCATGCCAGCAATGATAGTCGGAAGAAACAGGGAGAAGGCATACAGAGGAGTAAGGCAGCCCATATAGATAAGCATATATCCATATGTTTTCCAGTCCTTCAAGGCAGCAAACATATGTCTCTTATCGAAATCCTCAGCCGTTCGACCTTGCCGGTCCATAATCAAGCGACGTTGAATTCGAATCTGGTCATCAGGACTGAGGAAGCTTGCTGTTGCTGGCCAATCAAAGACGAGCCACCAGCACGCCAGACCAGCTACAATAGTAGCAAGACCCTCTAAGATGAAGATCCAAGCCCAACCGGGTTTCCCGCCAATTCCATCCATTTTTGCAATAACTGCTGCAAGCAAGCCTCCAAAGGAGCCTGCTAGCGCAGCTGCTGAGAAGAAGATAGAAGAACGGATGCCGATTTCAGAGCTCTTATACCAACAAGAGAGATAATAGTTAACTCCAGGGAAGAGTCCGGCTTCGGCCATACCAAGGAAGAAGCGAGCAGCTAGCAAGCCCTTGACGTTGGTGACAAGGCCCATAAGAGTCATTATAAGTCCCCATGTCAGAATAATAAGAGTAAAGAATAAACGAGGCGTGATCTTCTTGAGCAGTGCATTTGTTGCAGGTTCAACGACAGCATACGAGACGAAGAAGATCGTCAATGCATTATTATAGTCCCCTTTGACCATCTTAAGATCGACTTCGAGACCCGCTAGGCGAGCGTTTCCGATATTGGTACGGTCGAGGAAGGATAGGAGATAGAGAAAAGATAGCCAGGGGATAAGCGCCAGATCAACCTTCCACATCAGCTTCTTTTCCTATTTTGATTAGTTAGCGAGGTCATTCCTTGGCATGTAGCGCGCCGGTGATTTTACTTACAATGGCTTGACGCTCTTCCACCGTCTTTCCGGCATCAGGGTCTGGTAAATGAGCCAAAAGCTGAGCTCGCTCATATTCGATGGTCGTGTTGTCGACCTTTTCAGTCTCAACTGGGAACGGCTTCTCAAGATCGGCCATGGCGATTGTAATCGACTGATGCTGGGACTAGATGTCGAAGGGGCTTGTGACTCAAAGGTGATACCACAAGTGATACCACTGCCTCTAAGATAGGTAGGGAGGTAGCTTGGGTGGAAGAATCTCCTACGGGTTGTGCAGGGACCTGTTTATTTATACCTTCGTTGAGCTTAATCGCACTTACAATACCGATGGGTGGTCTCCAGTATCGTATCCTTCCGGAGCATCCGTGATCCCCATGGTGGCCCGGTTCTCACAAGGCTCCATCTATCCTCCACCTTTCTACCCCACGGTGCTTCTACGTAGCTGATTGCTACCCATAAGGGTAAGGTTCAGGCTGCTGACCCACATACGAGGACACGACAACAGTGGACTTTAAATTCCGTCCTTACCCGTGCGTAATTGCGAAGATGTAATACTATAGTAGACTGTTCTTAATCCCATTGGAGCCCTCGGAGTTCCGAGCTTCGATGCAACCCCCGAGCCGCAGGGAGAAAACGGCAGCCGCAATACACTAGAATAATTAGTCTGTCTCTGGAAAGATGATTCAGAACCTTTGATGACGAATAAGGATTCATCTTTTGGTCACTGTGGCAAGTAACCAGCCGTGCACCTGAAATAAGGTTTCGGTTCTGTGATAACCTTGAATTAAACTCAGGCGGAGAAGTGCGGGGTTTTGGTATAGATCTTTCTAGACTCCAACTGTTGTCTCGCTACCCCAACAAGCCCCATTCCCATGCGCCATTTTTCAATACGAGGCTTTATAGTATTGGTGGAGTATGATCTCCTCAGATGGAGAAGCCAATAATTCCCTCAATGCCAAGTGTTTCTAGACCATTTTGGTGTCAAGCAACGGGCGTAATTTTAGCTCTGCGATCATATGGCAATATCTTCATACGAATCTCATGAAGAGGGCAGAACGAATAGTCGTCATTAGGCAGTTCAATAAAATCACACGAGTACCTAGTACGCAACTGGTCTCGTCAGACCGCGAGCAGTAGATCCTTGCCGTGGCAATTATACGGTCGGGGGAGTGCGGCATCTTTTGGCACCTTCATGTGTCGGGAAGTTGCACCAGAGCTTTCGCTGACTGGCCTTAACTTTGAGATAAGGTCGTAAAGGATCACACTCCACAAGGAAGCTCGGTCAGCCTTTTTCTTCTATTCTTTTGTATTGTTTCCCACTTCTACTCCTGCTCCTCTTATATCTTGGCCCCCGGTTGTCACGATATGTAATCGGAAGCTTACTAATTTGTGGCACTTTTGCAATCTAATTAATTCCTTGCGTTTAATACGTTCCCATTAATCTCTTGAGCAGTCTTTGAAGACTGATTGTTCTATTGTTCCCTATTCGCCGCCTCCGCCACCATCACCACCACCGCCTCCATCACAACCCCCGGACCCTCCATAATCACCCGCTCCTCCACCACCAGATATATCATCCCCTCGACCCCTTCTGATAACCCTTCTCTGCTTCCAGGCATCGCGGCCGAGAAGTAGAGTCTTGAGATCAGTCCTCTCTACGTTGGCAGGAGCATGCTTCACTGTGTCAGGCACGTACTCCGTCAACGTCTCCTCCACTGAAACTCCCCTCTTCAACTCCGACGTATACTTCGATTTCCATATTTGTCTTGTATGTTGAAGCAGGCTACTCATCGCCTGTGTATTTGCTGTGTGTTCTCTATCAAGGACCCAGTCTGCCTTCTCAGTCGACCAAACCCAGTAGCTTGCAGGGAACAAACGATGCGTCTTCCATAGAAGATCAATCTCGAGTGTAGGGGGGAGTATGCGAGAGGGTCGTGAGCTTGGGTGACGAGATGCATTTGCTGTCTTTGGGTCTAGCTTTGACTTGCAGGAGCCATCTCTCTCACCCTTTGGAAGTACACTACCCAGAAGGCTGAGAAAGTCTTCGTAGTCCACCACTGAGTTCTTCAAATTTTCGACAAACCCAGGTACCGAATTCTTGACTTGAAGTATAACCTTCCAGAAAGACACTTGTTGCTCGAGGTCTGCTCGAAGATCCTGCAAAGATGGCCATGGCTTTAGCATACATGTCTCGTTGAACTGTTCATGCTGGCTTTGACTCCTGCATCTTTCTTCCACCCTGCAAGTTCGTATCGCTGCGTATGACTGGAGGTCCCAGACCTTGTAGCCTTGCTCCGGTACACTTGTGCGGCAGCGATCCCACTGGTGCATCAGAATCACTTTTCCTTGTTGGTCTTTGGGAATCTCTTCGAGCTTTTTGTCAGTCGGTGTTATCCATTTTCGGTCCAAGCATGGTGGCCGGTCAGCCCTGCCTCCCAGGATGGAGAGTCTTTTCGGTTTCCATGGTGCAGAGAGCCACAGTTGATATGGTAGGTTAGAGCCACGGCACTCAGAGCCAGACCAACTCATCTTACTACACTCATCCCAGGCGTTCTTTGTCCGTCTGGGACACCATTCACCCTTTAGCAGTTTGGACATGGGGAAATGCCGATGCTCTAAGCCAAAGATGCCATTCAAGTTGCGATTACGGTTATCGTAGACGTAGTGGTGGAACCGCGAGGGTGACAGC